AAGGTAAGGCCCAACCTGAAGGATGGATGTATATCCATTTTTTTTAATGTTTTACGTGTAGCCATCTAACCACTTTTTATTGGGTGACATATCATATGAGCACTTTGGTGGAGGCATGGAAAAACTACGGCCAGAGGTAAGGCTAGAAATGCCGTAAGAATTATGGTTGCTAAAAATGGATGCTGGAGAGTCTAGAATGAAAGATGGCATAAGCTGTATGCTTGAAATAAGAGGAAATACATGTGAATAATAATATATGAAAGCCACTGGGGGTGGGCTGAGTGTTGCCCCGAGTATCTGTGCAGGTAAGTCATTCATAAGAAAACTAATTACCTGTGCATGTACTTGGAGTTGTTTAACTGAATAAGCTGCATGTATACATATTTTCTGTTCTTTGTGGCTATGCAATTATGGACTAAGTCTTTTTTAAACAATAGCTTTGGGAGAATAACAATGTGAAATACATGTGCATATATATGTATACATATACATATATATTTAAAAGCCATCGAGCTGAATAGCTATAATTGTCAGGAAGGAAAATACTATCCTATAAATAAGATTGCCATTGCTTGAGAGCCAAATCGAGGCCTGCATATTGTATATTCTAGGGCACATCAACTGGCTTAACATAGTCACTGTTCTGTTGTGTATTTGTTTTAATTTCAACGTCTGGAATTAAGGATGTTTTTCAATCAAGGCAATGTATTTCTTTCCATATTAAGATAAAACATGAAAGTCTGTAAATTCAGAATGCAGACATGACACAACATACAACATGGTTGAAAATGTCTTCCTTGGAGAAGGCTGTCCATTGCTGTGTCTACACATTTTAAAATAGATTTTTTTTTGTACAATAAGAAATGCTGGAAAGCAATAGGGTGGTGAATGCAGCACCACCAAGCACAGAAATCCTTTAGTTATCTTTGGAATCACTTTGCTTATGCACACATCATTTCAAATGCACCAGCTCCAAACTGTGTCTCTGCTAATATGAAGTTAATTAGACAATCAAACTTTGAGCCTTGAACGATGGGCATTATAGTCGTTGGATGGGTATATCTAAGAAAGAAAACATGTGTCTTTTCTTTTATGAACAAACTAGGATGCTCTACAAGCTGGCATTACAAACATGACAGAGATGCATATTTGTAACCTTAAATAAACAGAAGTAGGGCGGTAACTGTGTATATTATCTAGCAAGAGACAGCAGGAGTCTCTCACCAAACAGAGAGAGAGACAGAGAGAGAGAAAGGGCCAACAGAGACAGATAGACAAAATAAGGCAGGAAAAAAGAGGGGGAGGGGAATCAGTAAAGACGATACAACCTGAGATTTTCACGAATTAAAAATGCAAATATATCTTTACATATGCATCAGTATTAAAAAAAATAATACACGCTGGAACCAACCAGAGCGGGTGCGAGAGGAAGAGAAGGAGGAGAAGGGGGGGGGAGAGGAGGA